AGGGACCGGCAGTCACTCAGGCATAGGATCGGAGCTTTCGCGTCCTCAACCTTCACCAGGACCCCCTCCAGGAGAGTTTCGGTGTGTGTTGCGCACCCTCGACCCCTTCCACGCTCGCCTGAGTCTCTGCCCCAAAGGTAGAACGGCACACTCTTTGTCCCGCTCGTGACCTCCAGTCCCCGATGGAGAAGTTGCCGACGCCCCCCTTCACGCAATTCATGTCTGCAAAGAGGACCAGGGCACCAATTTGGGAGGCGACCTTTGAGTTCTGTCTCTTGGCCTTCCTCTCTCGCTTTGTGCCGAAGGGGCCTTCGCGCATGAGTCCGGCCTCCTTGTCGTCTTGGCTGAGCCGGAAGTGCTCTTCCTCGAACTCGTCGTCTAAGGCGTTGGCCCAAGCAGCGTCATGGTAAACGATGACGCCGAAGTCGGGTGGTAGAGGACGGAATCGAAGTCCCTCCTCGCGGTAGGTAGTTGCCCGTGCCGACACCTGGTTGGTGAACTTGATGTCGGCGATCGTAGGCTCTCGCTGAAGTTGTTGTGCGAGACTGATGGAGCAAGTGAGATCGGGGCGTGTCTGGGATGAAAGCCACGACAGTGCTCCCACCAACGACTGGTTGTCAGCGACCAGCTCTGGGCCTGCCAGGTCCTCGTCATCCAAGCCCTTCGGGATGTCTAGGGTGAAGAGGCGCGTTGCCGCGTACTTGCTCTGGGAGACCTTCACCTCCTCGTCGCCGCACCAAATCTCGGTCCCGACATAGTCCAGGTGGTCTTCCTCCCACTTGTCGATAGGAAAGACCTTGGAGAGTCCGGCCTGGATGAGCTTATTTACCATTCGTCCGGCCACCACCAGGAGGTCGTCCACATGACTCCCGACGTAGCCGATCGGCTTGCCGTAGAACTTGTGCCCGTCGTACTTCCTCAGCATGAAGATGCACGGGTCGAGGGGGCACTGGTCGAAAGCGTAAGTGTCCCCTTCGAAGTCGATCCTGACCTTCTGCGCGCCGCTTTGGAGGTCCCGCCACCACTCATGAGGCGAGGTAGCTAAGCCGAAGATGTTCTTTTTGATGCGGACCAGCTGCCCTGGCATCAGCCCGGGAAATCCTGTGGCTGGTTGGTGGAGATATAAATCTTCACCGCGAGCCAGGTAGCCTCCTGTCAAGAAGGCGCACTGTATATCTCCGGCAGCAACCGACCACTTGTCGGTCTCCTGGAGCCCATTTGCCAACAGCTGCATCAGGCATGTAAGTCCCGGCCGAGACAATGTCGGAGCATCAGTGTCGAGCTCGGCAACGCCCAAATCTGGATCGCGATGTCCGCCGATAACCAATCGGCTCTTGCACCTCCATGCTGGCTCGTCTGCTCCCTGCTTGCCTTCGGCGCTCTTGCGGGCTGCCCAATTTTTATCGCGGTAGGCCCAGCGACAGGGTAAAATGCGGGAGGCCGGAGTGGACTCTCTCACCCTTTGGGACTCTTCGGGGCTTAAGGGTTCCAAGGCGTCGTAGCTCAGGTGTTCGTCCCACTGCACCTTTTCGGCGGCTTTGAACAAGGGCCTGGCACTTTCAGGAATCTCGCTCCAGCGCAACTCCTTTTCTTGCCTTTTGGCTTGACCACGCTTGGTCAAGGCCTTGTGGGTGAGCAGCACCTCTCCGACCCCGCCTCCATCGTGTCCGGCCTTAGTCTTCTTTCGCAGACGCCGTTGAGGTAGAACATGTTCCAGGGAGGATCGTCCTCCATCATCCATTTCCTGGTCGCCCTCTGCGTCCAGGACAACCGGGGCATCGGAGACGTCCGAGTAGTCCGAGGGGTGCTCGTCGCCATCGTCCTTTCGCTTCAGGGCGTCGCGGTACTCGCGGCCAACTTCTCCGGTGTGGGCGTCGTCCACATCATCCTGTTCCATGTAGGTTTCGGGGTCGTCGAGGTCCATCTCGAGAAGCTTCAGCACCTCTTCGCGCACACCGCGCATCGTGAGGTACTCTCCGACCTCCTCTGGCCCTGAGCTCCTCAGGTGTTCCGGGGCGGTGAGCCTGCAGCGACCATTCTTCGAAACCCAGTAGCTGCCCCCCTGCTTGCCGACCACCACAGCGGGGCCGATCCAATGGGGTCGCCTCCTGTCCTTCGGCTGATTCCAATAGTGTACCGGATCTCCAATCTCGTAGGTCGCCTTTGCCGTTCTCGCCCGCTGTAGTAGTCCACGGCGTAGTCGTTCGTCTCCTTGAGCTTGGTGGAAGGCGACGCGAGCGCTAGCCCGCAAAGCGGCGGCTCGCTGGAACTTCGAGTCCTCGGTGAGATCCCACGTCACAGCTCCGCCAGCGTCCGGGTCGCAGAGCTCTTCCGGAATCTTCGGCGAGCGTTGTGCTGGACTGTGTCCACACCTCCTCCTTAGATCGTTCTTGGCCGCGCACACAAGGGTTGCGGCCAGCTCCACTTCCTCGCGGGTCACGTCGCGCTCTCTGACGACGCGCTCCCACATCCCCTTGAACCATTCGATCTGACGCTCGGTAACGCCGCCTTGCCACTTGGCTTGAGCTGCGACATCCTTGACCTTGATGTTGTGCCAGTCACATATCCTGCCCAAGCCAGCCTGGACCTTGCCGTCGAGATCGAGGGAAATCGTCGTGGGAGGCCCAAACGGAGTGAGCCAACAGGCGTTGAAAGCTTTCTCGACCGAGGGTCCATCCTCACTGTCCAGGCGAACAACGGCCTGGTAGGTAGTGGCCCAGTCGACCACAGTAAGGAAGGCGTGCTTCTCGTCAAGGGCGTCGTGGGCGTAGAAGAGGTCCACCCCGACGCAGGAGTTGAAGTCCAGCAGTCGGGGCAGGGTCGTTGGCCTGGCCACCTGTGCGTGTTTGGTAGCATCGCATACTTCACACTTGAGGCCCTTGGCCGCCTTCACGACTTCTTGTTGGCAGCCGGCTAGTCTCAAGTGCCTGCATAGGTCCTCGGCCCGGGGGTGACCGAGGTTTTGATGTAGTCTCCGCAAAGAAGCTTGCACGATCTTTGGCACCCCTTCTTGGAAAGTAATTCCGGTGCCGTCGTAGTTGATCGCTTTCTCGGTGACGCCCCGGGCGCCATCGACAACACAAACATCATGAGGTCGCCGATCTCCTCCGTACTTCGCGCCGGCTTCCTTCTTCTTGCCCAGCACCAGCCAGCCATCATCCTCAACAAAGGACTCGTACTTCACCCATTCACTGTAGCGCTGCTTCCATCCACATAGCTCTCCTCCTCGTAATACGACCTCGTCTCCTCCGGCAAGTTGTGCCTCGATCAAGCCCTTCACCGCGTCGTTGGCCTTCTCTGGCATGTCCCGGAGATGAATCCTCAGCTCCTTTGGACTCGCTCCCTTCACGAAGTGGTAGGCATTCTCCTGCACCTCGGGGTCGACGAAGTCTTCCCACAGGATCGGCTCAATGACCGTCTCGTTGAGCTCGGTGGCCTCGATGGTACCCTCATAGCCGCCAATCTCCATCATCACGATGGGGTCGTAGTTCACGCTGGGGCCACAGTACTCGGAGAGGTAGGAGCCCACGGCGGTCATCAGGGTGGCCATCAAGACACTGATCTTGCCAGCTGAGTTCATGATGCTCTTGCGCTCGCTTTTGCTGGGGCGTGGTCGCGCGGCCTGTGTCCCGCGGGACGCGCTCCGTGGCAACGGAAAACCAGATCCTCTGAGGAACTTCTTGACCTCGGTGCCGACGTCGTAGATTCCTCTGACCGTGTGGTACGTAAGACACCACCGGTCCCCACGCCAGCTTCCGGTCGCGTGCCGCAGAAAGGGGTCAAAGGAAACGAAGTTCTCTTTGGTGTTCCTGTGCTCGCCCGGCACCCATGACCCGACTCGGTCCTTCCTCCAAATGATGTTGCCCCGGCTCGCGTCGCTCTCGCCGATGTCAATCTCCAGCCAAAGATCTCCTCCATCTTGTTGCCCAATGGTAGCGCAATGATTTTGACTCCCTCGTAGGTTGTTTGAGTCACGATGTACACTGCATCCAACGTTCCTAGAGATTGACACCGAAGTCCACGTCGCGTCCTCGCCGATGTGCTTCTTGCCGAAGTAGTTCAGGAAGCGGGCGACCGCATCGTTGTCCTTGGTAGCGCGGGTGATGCCGTGCACACCCCCGTGAGTATACAGACCGAAGTTCAGACTTGCCCCTCTCCTTCTCCCTCAGGTTGCTGGATGGCCCTGTAGGTATTGGGGGTGGTCTCACGCAACTCTTTGTCGAGGAGCTTCTGGCAATTCTCGAAGGAAACATCTGACCAGTCAAAAGTATCGTCGCCAAACCGGCGAGCTCGTGGTCGTGGTTGTCCATCTCGGACATCGTGGTGCATGTTGTCGTAGGCCCCGCCTCCAGCAGGACCCTTGGCCACATCTCCTTCGGCGTTGCTTTGAGTGGTCGCCATGGCGTTGTAGCTGATGGCCTTGTTGTAGTAGCCCCTGACATAGTCGGTCTCGGTGATCCCTTCGTCGCCGTGGATTGCCCCGCAGCACTTTACGTCACTCCACTTATGTTGGCCCCTGGCGCCACCCTGCTCGCTGTAGTCTCCCCTGCGACCTTGTCCTTCAGGATGACGATCTTCATCTCGACGGCCTAGATCTCTGCGGGAGTGCTCAGGCCGGGCTGCGAGTCCATGAGCTTCTCGTCCTTCTTGTTGGGGACCTGGCTGTTGTGCCTCGGCGCGGCCTTGATGTTTCTTGATCACTGGCGTGAGCTCCTGGCCTTGTCCTTCAGGATGGCGAGCTTCGTCTCGAGGGCTTGGATCTCTGCGAGGGTGCTCGGGTCGGGCTGTGAATCCATGATCTTCTCGTCCTTCTCGTGGAGAACCTGGTTGTCGCGCTTCGGCGTGGCCTTGGTGTTCCCTTTCCCGGTGGACCCTGAGTAGCCCTTCGTCTTGGTCACGCTCACTTCCTCCCAGGAGCCCCTTGACGGCGTCGATGTAGGGTGGGTGTTCGCGGGGTAGTCCTGGTCGCTCTCCTCGTCCATGATCTCGGCCGTCGTGCTCAACGCGAGCTGCTGGTTCTGCCACCACTTGGCGTACATTGCGAGCTCCGGTGAACAGTTCCCTTCCGCTCGCGTGATCTCCTCCAGAGCCCACTTCCCGTAGCTGTTCGGGATGTCTCGGAACAGGGATCCCTTCCACCTTCCGATCGTCATCACCATGTCCCCGGTGGTGCTCACTGAGGTCCTGACCAACCTCAGTAGGTTCCCCTTTGTGACCTTGTCCGGCACGTCCACGCCCATCTCCTTCGCCTTCTTCCGGAGGTCCTCGATCTTCATCGAGCTCATCCCCCTCATCTTCTGTGAGGCGGTCTTCTCCTGGTAGGTGTCGACGTGGTCGCGGATCGTCGCCCTGAGCTCTGGCACCGTCCAAGAGTGATGTACTGCGGCTCCCACACGAACCGCCTCGGACAACAGCTGGGCCTTCGTCATGCGGCTTAGCGGTGTCGTCGTGCTCTGGCATCGCCTGGAGTCCATGCCCGCGCTCGGGTGCGAGAGGCGGGGGATCTGGGGCTTGCGACTTGTAGAACACAGTCCTGCCAACCCAAAGCGACGGTTGAGATGGCTGATGGATCTCATCTGGCTCCCACTGATCTACAGTTGCCTCTAGCCAACATCCGCTCCTGCAACAGACTCCCTCTGTGGTACGCACACGACCGATGGATGCAATCAACATGTCTCTGAGCACTGTTAACCCCGTACGCCAGGTTGAAGGATTAAACAATGCCCTCCGCGGAACCATGTGTACCCTCACCCATGTATCTGGAGTCTCTACCCAAAAGTCTCGATCATAGTTGGACTTCTCCCACCAGTTGACAAAGATATCCTGTTGCAAACGATCTTGACTCAACATGTCGCGGGTGCTCGGGTCCAATTTCTTCTCGTAGAAGATTCCAGAATACTTGGGGGTATGTGGGCCATGATGCGCTACAGCAAGAACGGACATGTATTGCTCAGCGGTCTGCAGTCGGAGGTCCTCGATCTGTAAGTCTGACGTTTCGTCAGATGACACACTGACTGGCACGATCGGGATAGCCGGATGGCCTGACGAGGTGGTGGTGAGCTTGTAGTCGCTGAGGTTGATCGCCTTGAAGTCGGCCTTGCCATTCTGAACATCGTATATCATCCCCAACTTTCCGAGTACTGTTTTACTTAACAGCAGCGGGATGTCTCCGGTGATGATCGATGTACGCAGTTGGACATTGAAGCTCCCCAGCCTGAACGTCACGATGACATAGAAGGAAGAGTAGTAGACCTTCCCCGCCCCAAAACGGTAGGCCTCGCACTCTTTCTGTAGCACCGGCTTCTTTCCGATCTCGGCCAACAGGTTGCTGTAGGATTGCAACCACTGGGTTCCGGCCACCGTCCTCGCGCATGCCGTGTCCGCCGCCCCCAGCAGAGTGCTGGGCACATGCTTCAAAGCGAAGACGTCCGCCGGGAGAACCGTCGTCATAGCCACGCTCGCCGTGCCTTCAGCCTTGGCGCCGCCTCCGCGGTTTAAGGGGCACACATCGTCCTTGTGCCAGTGGCCTTTGCGGCCACAGCCCCCGCAAAAGCTGCGGGCCTTCATAGCCTTGAGCTTGGAGTCCCGGTCTTCACGGCCCTCGCCTCCTCGACGATCTCCGCCTGGTCCATCGGGTTTGGGCGGCCTGTCCTCACCATGTGGGGCTCCAGTAGTGCCTCGGTTCCTCTGCTGGGTCCTGTAGCGCTCCTTAGCCGACTGGTAGGTCATAAAGGCTTCTGCTACATCTTCGGGCACAGCCTCCTCGCCGTCAAAGAGCTCCTCCTCGTCGGTCTCGGGGGTGTTGTCGGTCATGTGGGCATAGTTAGTCCGCTTGGGTCTGCCTCCTGCCCCCTCCCATGGCTTGCGCTGCCCCCTGTCGTGAAGAACTGCGGCGTGTTGGAGGTGATGCAAACTGTACCGGTTCCCGACGCTGGCGAGGAGGTTGAGCTCTTGGGACTCTTCCAACTGCAGCCTGTCTAAGTAAAGCCATGCCGCACACTCTTCAGGCAAGGAACATCCGACCTCACGAAGCCTTCCGTGAAGTCTGTCGTACTCGGTGTTGTACTCCCGGATCGTCTGACCTGGTCTCCTCCGCAACTTACGGAAAAAGTCTGAGAACGCCCGCCCTATGCGAGCCACCTCCAGGTCCAGGAACCTCGCCGCCACCCAGCCTGTGAAGTACTGCAAGCCTCCATTCGTGCTCAACCTCGACACCGAAAGCTCCTCGGCTGCAATCCAAGCTTTTCCACCGAGATGCTGGTAGAGAACCAAGCCAAGCTGACTTGGAGGGAGCCGGGTGATGCGGCGCCAGACCTCAATCTGCCGAAGGTACGACCTGGCCGAGTTGCCCAAGTCGTCGGAGTCCTCTGCCGTAAACGTTGGCACCGTCAAGCGCTCAGAGGGTCTAGGTCCCTTGCTGTGATCATCGGGTCCTTGCCATCCCCAGCCTGACTGTGAGCCATTGTCATGCCATCCGCTGTGACTTTGCCACCCATCAGAGCGCCCCCCAAGATCCGAGCCAGGACTATAGGTGTCGATCCAACGGTGTAGGTCGCCCTGATCGTGTAGCCTGAAGCTGCTATCTCTACCATCTGCCCAGGGAACTCCTTGGAATCCTCCACGGTCTTGTACGCGATGTCCGTAGTCTCTCCCATCTGACCACGAGTCGTGATGACGTAGGCCCGAATCGTAGCCTCGCGCTGCGTGTTCTCGACCATCTGCCCAGGGAACTCCT